GACGCCTGGCACAATTCGTGGTATGACTGCTGACTTCAGACTGACAAGTGTTTATGGCCCACCCCTTGAAAGAACTTCCTCTCCCCACATTTATAATTACTTTGAATATTTCCCGTGACGCAGTAAAATAAAGGTGGAATAAGTGGGGTGTGGAAAAAAGATCTGTTTACCTTTTTAAAATTACAGTCCTCTTTTTAAAAAGGGGTGGATTATGAAGTTAATTGGAGCCACACATAGAAGGCAGCAGAGACATTTTGAACATAACTCTCTGTGGTAGAATACAAACTAACACTGTGTAAATTGATTGTACTGTTTAAGTATTTACTAGTTACGTGCGGGATCTGAAGGCCTTAGGAATGGAACTCAACAGATGGGAAACCTTGACATCTGAGCGTTCAGCCTGGAGGCAGGCCTCTCCCAATTTGAAGAGACACTTGTACAGCAGGCTGAGGCAAAGAGGCAGTCCCAAAACTAGCAAAATCAGGGAGCTGGACAGGGGACAGATTATATTTGTCTTCAGTGTGGAAGGAATTCTCACTCTTGAACTGGCCTTCTCAGCAACACTAGACACTGTTCCAAGTCCTCCATACAGAGCACGTTACCATAGTCTCTCGATACTGAAGGATGCCTAATCTAAGTTACGTGCACTCCAAGTAAGCTCACCCTGATGTATATAGATCTCCCCTCCCCACTATTACCCTACAAGATAGGTCACCTGAAACAGAGCAACCAGTCTGGGATCTCCCATTGAATTTCATACCTCAGTGGAGACTAGAACCCAGGTCTCCCAAATTCCAGTCTGACATGTTAACCATTTGCATCACAGTGGCTGTCAACACCAAGCTGGCGATTGTTGACCTGTTCCCCAAGTACCACAGTCATTTTATTTCCCATCAATCAACCCCCACAGTTGATTGCAGGTATACAGAAGGCCTGGTTGATTGTAGCTTTAGTTCCAGAAGTCTCTCATTAAATGAGTTCTGTCTTGTTCCTGCTATCCATTGCCAGGCTTAAGAAAGGTTTGTTGAGATTTTGAGGTGATAAATTGCCTGAAGGTTTAATAAAATGTAAAGCAGTGACATTTTGAGCACATCTTTTATAGAAAACAGGGCAAACTTTTGTAGCATCTCTAGTTAAAATGATATATGGAACATTACACTGAACAGAACTTCTTTTTGAAGGAAAACAAGAATGTTTTATGATGATCTCGTGACCAACAACAAATAAAAGGGATCATTGAAAGTTGAAGCAGATGTTGATGTGAACCTTTTGAACTATTCTGGCAAAAAAATGAGTTTTTATTCTGCTTTGTGGGATTTGTCTGGGCAAGATAAACTGGTCCAGGGGGCATTTTCCACAAAGCATGAGACTAAATCAATCTATATATACAGTATATAGAAGTTTACAACTTGTGGCTCTCTATTGGTTGTTGGACTGCAACTCCCATCATCCCTCTCTCTTGGCTATACTGCCTAGGGCTGATGGGAGTTAGAGTTCACTACAGTGGTGCCTTGACTTATGACCATAATCTGTTCCAGAAGATGGATGTAACTTGAAATGGTCGTAAGTGGAAGCACCATTTACCATAGGAATACATTGAAATGCAATTAATCCATTCCGGCTGAAGGAAAAAAATCACCAAAAAAACACACCACACAGAAAAAACAATCACTGCAACACCCATCGGAATGTGATTAATCTGTTCTGGCTGAAAGGGGGGGGCGGGAAGAAAAGAAAAGCAAGCAAAGTAAGCAAGAGCCACTGGAAATGCAAAAAAGCAAAGCAAAAAGCAAGCAAACCCCCCAAGACCCATCGGAAATGGGGGGAAAAACCAAAAAGCAAACAAACCCCCCAAGACCCATCAGAAATGGGGGGGAATACCAACAAACAAACAAACCCCCCAAGACCCTTCATAGCACAGAAACATACCCAAGACCCATTACAGCACAGAAACATACCCCCCCAGCTCCAAACCATGCTGCAATAACATCCAGAACAGTTTTTTAAAAGCAGAAAGCAGCACCTTACATTGCCAGGCAGTCCGAAGCTTCCTTTCAGACACACACACACGCTCACTCAGAAGCAGAAAGAGACAGTTCGAAGCCTCACGCTCACTCAGAAGCAGAAAGAGGCAGTTCGAAGCCTTATCTAACTACTGGGGCGAAAGAGCCACAAAGAAGCAGCCTCGGTGCCACCTACAGTTAGAAATTTGAATTTCCCACCTTTCCCCCCTGCCTTTTTCTGTTTATAAGTGGAAGCTCCAGTCACAAATAGAAGCAAAATGTTACGGCTGGAGCTGGTCCTAACTTGAAATGGTCATAATTCGAGGCACCACTGTACATCTGAAGGGCTTCTGTTCCCAATCATTGTGTTAAAGAATGCCAGTGTCTATAAAACTAGACAAAATAGCAGAGAGAAGCGTATGTACTGTTGATATACCAAAAAAAAAAAAAAACCCTTAATAATAGCCCTTCATTCTTTTATGTCTAATTTATTATTGAAATAGTTGGCCCGTTTTTGTGTGGTGTGTGTGGGAATGCATTTGCTTGCAATAGTATCTAAAATAGTTTTGTTTTTTAAATTAAGTGCACCACAGTTTTGTGGAAATAACTTGCTGAAATGTAACTATTATTTAAATCTCCATCAGTATTCTTCCAGAAGAAGTCAGCCAAGTGTTTCCAAATCCATTTGCAACATGTTGTTGTTTGTAGCAATGCACTGTTGACTTGGTTGTCTAGGAGACCTTCAGATTGCTGCTGTGTCAAGTCCTTGGTCACAGTGCTTTAGCAAATGCAGAACCATCACAACAATCTATCTCCTTTTATCACTTCTGTGTTCTTTGCTGAGAACTGTTGGAATAGGTTTCCCATAATGCAATCCTTCACACTGCGAGCGATGGCAACTTGAAAGACAAGTTATCTATTTTCCAATATTTATTTCCTCCAGGATAGGACTCATCATGATTGAACAGCTCATACACAGCTGAAAAACAGGAAATGGGTTCACAGTATAGCCTTTAAAACAGATAAGTGCATGTGCCCTATATGTGACCTCCTCTGAAGCCCATGACTGACAGTGCCATGCAGATAAGTCCAAGATTGGCAGTGCCATGCATATAACTTCCTAAATCAATTATCCATTTTAGCGATTATCAGTTGCCACTGGACTTCTCCAGCTGTCTCTAGTTCCTAGTACTGTACTTAGACAACCGTTTCCTATGCTGATTTAGCTGTGAGCTGATTTCTGTCTCGCTCCTACACGGTCTTCTGAATCTGCATCCCGTATTTCGGAAGTTCCACTTCCTCCTCTGTGTGGCATTGGGACAGGCTGCTGTAGATATTATACATCTTGACTTCAGCAAAGCCTTTGACAAAGTGCCTCATGATATTCTGATCAACAGGCTAATGAGGTGTGGACTGGATAGATCAACTGTCAGGTGAATACATAGTTGGCTACAGAATCATACACAGAGGGTGATGATGATTAATGGCTCCTTCTCCAACTGGGAGGAGGTAACAAGTGGGGTACCCCAAGGCTCAGTCCTGGGCCTAGTGCTCTTCAACATTTCTAATAATGACTTGGATGAGGGAGTGCAGAGAATGCTTGTCAAATTGCAGTTGATACAGAATTGGGTGGAAATAGCTGATGTCTTGGAAGACAGGAACAAAATTCAAAATGATCTAGATAGGCTGGAGCACTGAGTTGAAAGTAAAATAATGAAATTAAACAGAATAAGTGCAAAGTTCTGCACCTAGGGAAAAGAAACCAAATGCAGTTACAATATGAGGGTACTTGTCTCAGTATTACTACGAGTGAGAAGGATCTTGGAATTGTTATAGATCAAAAGCTGAATACAATCCAACAGTGCAATGTGGCTGCAAAAAAGGCAAATTCTAAGCACTGCTTAGGCTTTATCTTGAGTATTGTGTCCAGTTCTGGGAACCACACTTTAAGAAGGATGGCAACAAACTGGAGGAGGGCACCAAGGATGATTAGGGGACTGGAAACCGAGCCCTATGAGGAAAGACTCAAAGAACTGAGCATGTTTAACCTTGAGAAAAGAAGACTGAGGGAGATATGATAGCAATTTTCAAATACATGAAAGGTTCATATAGAGGAGGGGCAGGATCTGTTCTCAATTACCCCAGAGTTCAGGACACGTAATAATGGGTTTAATCTACAGGAACCCAGATTTAGGCTGAATATCGGAAGACCTTCTTAACTGTTAGAGCAGTATGACAATGGAACCAATTGTCTTGGGAGGTGGTGAGTGCTCCAGTGCTGGAGGCATTCAAGAGAAAATTGGAAAACTATTTATCTAATCTGATTTTTGGTTTGGATTCCTGCATCGAGCAGAGGGTTGGACTTGATGGCCTTATAGGCCCCTTCCAACTCAGTTATTCTATGAGGTGAAACTGTTAATTATTTCTACAGTATATTTTAAAAACTTTCTGAGGTGAGTCTCTAGTGCAGAGAATGCTTGTCAAATTGCAGTTGTTTTACAGTATATTTTAAAAACCTTCTGAGGTGAGTCTCTGTATTCCTTGAACAAATGAACTGAAATACCTGTCTTGGACTTTCTTATTTAGATAGCATGTGCGTTTTTGTTTTGCTTATTCAGTGACTCATACAGTAGGGAAAGTCTGTAAATGATTCTGAACATTTTGGATCACAGAGACTTCAAACTCTCCAAACACTTCTTTCCTTTCAAAGTTCATTGGGGAAAATTCCCCACCCATTATTCTTTCAATCTCATCTGCACAGAGCAGTTGGTTTTTTTTGTTTCTGTGTCAACTAATTGAAGAGAATTCAACCCATTTTCTCACTTATAATGTTGTTTTTCGAAGAAACACATATGGTTTACAATATTGCCTGTTCAGATGTTATGGTCAGAATCCCTGGAATGAACAGGGAATGGCGGGTTTAAATGACTTTTTGAAGAAACGATTAACTTGTACCAGGTGAATATCCTACTAAAACGATACTTCTGTTCTCTTCAGGTTTCGGCAGGTTCCTTAGTGTGGTTTGAGAAAGAAAACTTTTCATTGTCAGCGAAAATAGAGGAAAAACCACTCCCACAAGGAAACAACGCCCTGTTACAATGGGCCCAAAAGGAATATGGGGCAGTAACGTCTTTCACAGAACTAAAAATATCCAGAAATGTTTACATCAAAGTTGGTGAAGGTAAGTCTTCCAGATCCAGTAATCCTGTACATAGAGAATGGAATTTTATTCGTGTTTATTTTCCAGCTCTCTGTTTCCGAGTTTACTTATCAATGTTGGAATATGAACACTACTCAAAAACCTCTCACATCAAGAATTGGAAAGCAGTATGATTTTTTTTAAAGGCACAGGTTACAAGCAAAAGTAACTGGAAGCCCTGTGCCATTCTAAGGCTCTCAGGGGTTGTCACTTGACACCAGCAAGCCAATTGCCCACTCAAAGAGGAGAAACATGAGAGATGGAGGGAGGAATTTCTGGGGCAACAGGGCTTCCCAGAAAGTCATTCTGAAAAAATTGAGACAGTCTGAACAGCCATTGTTCTGCAATATAAAGTGGCTCAGCAGACAACCAGTGGTTGATCAGAGAGAGCTATTACAATTGGTTTGTGAATGTTTTGCTTAGTGCTCTTGTATCACCTGTTAGTTAAGGGTTTTTTTTAAACCAGAGGATTGCCTTTCTTCTCTCTCCTCTCTCCTCTCTCTCTCTCTCTCTCTCTCTCTCTCTCTCTCTCTGTCTACCGTGTTTCCCCAAAAATAAGGCAGGGCTCCAAAAATGCATTAGGGCTGATTTTCAGGGGATGTTTTATTTTTTTCATGTACAACCATCTACATTTATTCAGATACAGTCATGTCATCTTCTTCTGGTTGCTGCACAATGGTGGAGGGCAGGGTTTCACTTAACTGGGGCTTATTTTGGGGGTAGGGCTCATATTACGAGCATCCTGAAAAATCATACTAGGGCTTACTTTCAGTTTAGGTCTTATTTTTGGGAAAACAGGGTGTCTGTCTGTCTGTCTGTCTGTCTGTCTGTCTGTCTGTCTGTCTGTCTCAAGCAATAATCTTTCTTTGCTAATGAAGTACAATGACTTTTCCAAACTATCATCAGGAGGCCAGATTAGTTTTTTCTGTAGAGATGAAGGAACTGGTAGAGAGAGACTAATATTCTTGAGTCTGAGGAAGTCTTTCCCAGAACGTAGAAAACTTGCATTTTTAGACTCCCAACTTTCAGAATTCCCTAAGGGAACATGGTTACTCCCCATGGTAATTCCCCATATTCAAGAAAATAGTGGAAGATCTCTCTAAATGATACTTTTTCATACTGCAGTGGCCAATTATTCATTCTTTGAATTTTAGGCAGTCTCCAGTTTGTGATCACCAGGATGGACATCACAACAAACTAGCAAATAAACAAGCAAACACAGAATATGATGTTGAGCAATTCGGGCTAACAGTAGTTGGATGAAGATATGATATTGTAGATCCTAATTCTTGAGAAATGGTCCATCACTGTGATAGTGTGGTTAGAGAAAAGCGATCAGTGCAATGTACAAAAACTACATAAAGCCCCAAGGGGCTCAAATACAGCCCAAGTGAGCCACATGTAGTTGGGTTTTTTTAATTAAAACTTTTTCTCTCTCCAAAAGTTCTCTTGTGTCCTTAAGGGAGTACTGGGTACATTTTCATCATGACTTAGGACCTCCTAGCACCAGCAGTTGCCACACACTACCCAAAGTTGTTTTTTTTTTAAATATTTTTTGTTTTAATTGAGGCCACTAGATGGCCCAAAGGAGACTTTTTCAGGTTTTTTTGGGGAAAAAGTTCTATACCTTGATCATGCTAATCATCTTTGGAAGTCTTCTGTTGGTTGAAGTATGCTTCTGGGAATCCAACTCTCTTTCTCATTTATTATAAGCTGTTCTTTTTTACTTTACGTCTCAAGGGTTAGAAGATGTTTAGATGATTTGCAGCAATAGGAGGAGCAGGAGCAGCTAAATTAAATACCTGGCCTTAAATAATACTAAATGATACCAAAACAAAATTTAAAATTAGTGGATGAGTTTTATTTTGTGGATTGGCATGAAGGGATAAGTTTTATTTTCATGAACTAATTAATGATTTTTGAATTAAAAACAATTTTATAAAAATCAGAATCTTGTACAGTATTTATCAAGTCTTAAGTATGTGTAGCTAGGTTTGGGAGGTATCAGAAGTTCTTGATTTTTGTTGTATCTAAGGAAGTAAATTATTTCATTATTTAATAAATACAAACACAATTTTTGGTAATATTTGTTTTTTTTTAAAATGTTGCAATTAGCCACCTACCTTCCTACTATGACCATGGCCCTTGGGGAATGCAGCCCTGGAACTACTCGCCTTTCTCAAAACTGGCTCTCACCTGCACCAAAGTTACTTACCCCTAGTTTAGCGTGTTTGACAACAAATTGTGCAGTCTGAATTGTGATTCCCACTGAGTTGGGAGACTCACTGGGTAAGCTTAAACAGCTTGCTTTCTGTCAGCCTTAACTAACTTCACAGGCTTGTTGTGAGAATAAAGGAAGAAGGAAGAGGGCATGTTCACTGCCTTGAGCTTGCTAGAGGGAAGGCAAAGTTTATGTGTAACTAAAGAATGAGAATACATAACAGTAAAGCTCATTTGGATTGTCCACGGAATTACCGTATTGCAGCTATCAGATTGCCTTATGACATGCATGTTTTTCCCAACGTAAGCCTGCTGGTTGTTTAGTTAATTTGCCCATTCATATAAATGGATGGCAAAACCCTGTTGCATAAATGTATACTGCGTAACCATTTTGCCTCATGTGCTCCCAGAGGCATCTGGTGGGGCCACAGTGAGATGCAGGAAGCTGGACTAGATGGGCCCTAGGCTTGATCCAGCAGGGCTCGTCTTACGTTCTTATGTAAACATGTCCAAGTGCCAGAAATATTTCATTAAATTAAGGGAAAGTTTCCTAGTCCCTAACCCCTAGGTTTAGTTCCAAAGCTTCCCAGGGCTCTGGTTTTCCCTAGGGAAGCCTGGGAGCTTTGGCACAAGTGAGAGGAAAACTGTATTTAATAGTAAAAAATCACCACCAGATTGCCATCAGTGGTGGGACCGCCAATGGTGATTTGGCAGTGCTTTTCTTCTACTGGGTGTACCTCCCCCACCATCCCAAGGCTCCCAAAGGCTTTTCCAGGACAAAAGGGAACCTTGGAATCTGAAAGGGGGGATGAAAGGTTTTCCATTCATTTAAACAAAATGTTTTGGATGTCTCTTCCAAGTTTTGTCCTGTTTAGTTGTTAAGTCATGTCCGACTCTTTGTGACTGCATGGACCAGAGCACGCCAGGCCCTCCTGACTTCCACTGCCTTCAAAATGGATAGGTTTGTTCTTCTTGCATTCCAGGAGACTCTCAAGAGCCTCTTCACGCACCAGAATTCAAAAGCATCTTTTTTTTGGCGGTCAGCATTCTTTATGGTCCAAATGTCTTTGCTTTTTAAGATGCTCTCAAGGTTTGTCATCGCTTTCCTCCCAAGAAGCAGGTGTGTTTTAATCTTATGGCTGCTGTCACCATCTGCAGTGATCATGGAGCCCAAGAAAGTAAAATCTGTCACTGCCTCCATATCTTCCCCTTCTATTTGCCAGGAGGTGATGGGACCAGTGGCCATGATCTTGTTTTTTTTGATGTTGAGCTTCAGACCATTTTTTGCACTCTCCTTTTTTTGATGTTGAGCTTCAGACCATTTTTGCACTCTCCTCTTTCACCCTCATTACGAGGTTCTTTAATTCCTCCTCACTTTCTGTCATCAGAGTGGTATCATCTGCATACTGCTGAAGCCTACCTTGAAGGATTTTGAGCATAACCTTGCTAGCATATGAAATGAATGCAATTGTACGGTAGTTGGAGCATTCTTTGGCACTGCCCTTCTTTGGGATTGGGATGTAGACTGATCTTTTCCAATCTTCTGGCCACTGCTGAGTTTTCCAAACTTGCTGGCATACTGTATTGAGTGTAGCACCTTAACAGCGTTGTCTTTTAAGATTTTAAATAGTTCAACTGGAATGTCATCACCTCCACTGGCCTTGTTGTTAGCCAAGATTTCTAAGGCCCACTTGACTTCACTCTCCAGATGTCTGGTCAGCAGCCACACTGTCTGGGTTGTCTGGGACATCCAGATCTTTCTGGTATAATTCATCTGTGTATTCTTGCCACCTCTTCTTGATGTCTGCTGCTTCTGTGAAGTCCCTACCATTTTTGTCCTTTATAATGTCCATCTTTGCACAAAAGGTTCCTTTAATATCTCCAGTTTTCTTGAACAGATCTCTGGTTTTTCCCTTTCTATTATTTTCCTTTATATCTTTGCA